ATTCAAATATACATTTTTATATATTTAATTAAACGTTATACATATTTTATTTGAAAATTATTTATTGTTTAACACAGAACATATATTATTTTAATATCACAAAGACAAAATATATAATATTATTTTAATATCACAAAGACAGGAACATTTTTCCAAAAACATTTTAAAACCATAATTGTCTTATTGTGTTCTACAAGCAAAAAAAAATTCTTAATAATTTCAAAGTGTTGTACCGTTTTAAAGCGTACTAATTTCAGTCTTTTATACTTAAAAATAAAAAAAAAATTAAAAGAAAAATAAAAAAAAGAAATTATGTATTAAAAATGTAACTTTTGTTGCTTGCAACATGTCCTTTTTTAGTTAGTTTTCTTATTTTCAAGAATATGTTTATACTTTTGGACTAAATTGATTAAAATCATTTTCTCCGCTTCAGAGAAATTTTGTGCACGTTTGCGTTTTTTCCTTCACTCATTTTTGACTTGTATGTTCACAATACTACTTGAACTAAAATATAAATTTTGAGGTTTGGTTTGCACCATTCGATAGAGCAAACGCTGAACCAATGATCATTCGATATTCCTAGTTTCCTACAATTATATCAGACAGGTTATAGGTTTAGCTAAACTTTCTAAATAGAGTGTTCGTAGAAACCATTCAATATTAAACCGAGAGTTAATCTTAACCAAAGTTTTATTAAACCTCAGTTAAAATCGAAATTGGTAGAAACGGGCATTAATCGAACATTTTCAGCAGGGGAGCCCTAACCAGAGAGGATCCTAAGGCCGAGAGCACATGAAATGCATAACAAAGCATAAACATAGCATAAGGCGGCCAGACCAATGAGTAGCCAGCAAAAAGACGCCATATTGATTTACATAAGATTCTCATTGGTCTAGCCGTCTTATGCTACGCTTATGCCACATTATGCATTTCATGTGCTCCAAGCCTAAGAGCGGTCATGCCATGGAGGACTGGAGAGAGCATATCGGTGGTGGGGGTTTCATCTAAGACGGTTGACCAATATGGCCGCACCCGGATATTGAAGTAAAGCGGTAAATTCGAGTGGGTTTATTACTATAAAAATTTAATTAGTCTAAAGCGAGCTGAGTTACATGTTTTTCAGCTTTCGGAGAATAGTCACATTTCATTCTATTAACTCACATATTTCAACCGTTTTACGCGAATACTTGGAATCGCATGTAGTTTGAGACGGGTCACACTGAGAGAACTTTTATCGAAACAGTCTTAGGTAAAATTGAACGTTTGACAGTAAATTTTTTCGGTTTCCACTTGCTGCCTTTATTTAA